CCTCACAGGTGCTGTCTCCAGTGTGTCTCTCCCCCTGCTCTCCTGCTGTTCTTACCAACCTGGCCTCCTGGAGGGGAGTTTCACAGCCGGGCACAACTGCTGATTTTGCCATCTGAACGTCCTTCTCCCTCTGGGTCCCAGCCAGGGTCTGTCCTTGTGGAGAGGAGGAGACAGAGTGTCACTTTCCAGGAATCCGACTTCGAGGCCTCTCCAGGCCGGGTTCCTGTCGAGGTCTGAGCTCCGCCTGGCACTGCACATTCCCATCAGCACCCAGGCAAGAGGTTTAAGGAAAGGACGCCCAGTGAGGCTGACTGCTGAGGCCCCAGACAGACCCAGGCTTTCCTCTGCAGGAGCCGTGGAGACCCTGGGTTCAGATCTTCAGGATTCAGCCATGGCCCTGGGACCCTGAGTCCCGAGGCCAAGCTTGGTTCTGGAGCACAGGTTGCAGATGCTGGCCCCAGGGTGCACAGGCGTTTTCCCTGGGTTGCCAGAAACTGTCCTTGTCGGGTCTTCAGCTCTTGCATCTAGAATGAGAGAGACTTTCCTTTATTCTGTAATGGTATCTTTCTATTTCTTTGATGTTAAAATGTCATGTCTTCTGTGAAATTGAAATAGTAGCAAACAGTTTTATTAAAAATGTACTCAGTTATCCAAGTACAATGTTGACAATTCTTGGATCATAATTCTAAAACATTAAGTTTGTAAAATTTGAGAAAATGTGAGAACCCCTGTTTGTGGAGTTCTGAGGAGAAATTGGTTTCCCAGAGTCTTGGGAATAGGAGGAGCATTTTAAAAAAGCTTGTTTATTTATTTATATTTATTTGAAAGGCACACGTGCACACACTCATATGCACACGCAAACCGAGTTATCTTCCATCTGCTGGCTCACTCCTCAAACGTTCACAACAGCCATGGTTAGAGCAGGCCAAAGCCAGGAATCGGGAACTCCATCTGAGTCTCTCATGTGGGTGGCAGGGACCCACGTACTTGGGCCATCATGTGCTTCCCCCCAGGGTAAACATCAGCTCTAGCTGGATTGGTTGTAGGTAGTGGAGTGAGGACTTGAACCCAGACACCCTGATATGAGATGCAGGTGTCTCACTCACTGCACAAATGCCCCACCCCAGGAGGCTTGATTTTTGGAGGTGATAGGTTTAAGGCTCCTAGATTCATTCAGTTCCCAGTCCCCACTTGCACTGTTCCTGTATTAGACCTCAGCTGCCCTTAGCCTTGACCCAGTTTCCTCAATGTGTGGACCTGCTGCTTCAGGAACACAATGAACTTGGCCCAGCAGCCCTGTGGTCTGTGTCCACCCCCACAGCCTATGCCCTTTGATGTGTCAACTTCCGCCTGACTGATGGCCTGTCCATTCTCCTTCAGGACACAGAAGGGGCTGTCTCCTGGCCTTCCTGATGATGTTTCTTGGCTGACTACTAGGAAACGGATCACATTTAATTCATAAAGTGTCTCATGGAACAGATTCTAATTTGGTGATATGATTTGAAAGCTCTGGACAGCCCTCAGATATCTTCCTGAAAGATCTGCCAGCATGTCTGAAGTCTTGAGTCACTTTTCAGCAAGGTTCCAGAAAAAAAAAGCTCAAGAACTAAACTTAGTTGAGGTTTAGTTTCACCCGGAAGTCGTAGCACATTGGCATAATTTAATGGAGCTCTACAACTCACCATCATGAAATGATTTATTGGATCTGATCATCGTCTTCTTATCTCCTGCAGCACATCACAGGGCCCTGGGGGAATGGCAGATGGGCAGGCATGTTTGGATGGAGGGGTGAGACAGAATATGCATTGGAGTTTTCTGTTTTTTTTTTTTTTTTTTTTTTTTTGACAGGCTGAGTGGACAGTGAGAGAGAGAGACAGAGAGAAAGGTCTTCCTTTGCCGTTGGTTCACCCTCCAATGGCCGCCGCTGCAGCCGGCGCACCGCGCTGATCCGATGGCAGGAGCCAGGATCCAGGTGCTTTTTCCTGGTCTCCCATGGGGTGCAGGGCCCAAGCACCTGGGCCATCCTCCACTGCACTCCCTGGCCATAGCAGAGAGCTGGCCTGGAAGAGGGACAACCGGGACAGAATCCGGCGCCCCAACCGGGACTAGAACCCGGTGTGCCGGCGCCGCAAGGTGGAGGATTAGCCTATTGAGCCACGGCGCCGGCTGGAGTTTTCTGTTTTAACTAGCTTTGTTTTCCATTCTGGGTAGAGTTGGTGGCTGAAGAAAGTCATGATTTGTGGGGCTGGTGCCGTGGCTCACTTGGTTAATCCTCACCTGCCGCGCTGGCATCCCATGTGGGTGCTGGGTTCTAGTCCCAGTTGCTGTTCTTCCACTCCAGCTCTCTGCTGTGGCCCGGGAAGGCAGTGGAGGATGCCCAGGTGTTTGGGCTCCTGCACCCGCAGGGGAGACCAGGAAGAAGCACCTGGCTCCTGGCTTTGGATCGAAGTAGCGCCGGCCATGCGGCCATTTGGAGAGTGAACCAACAGAAGGAAGACCTTTCTCTCTGTCTCTTTCTCTCACTATCTATAACTCTACCTGTCAAATAAATTAAAAAAAAAAGTCATGATGAGCATGTGAGTGTGTGTGTGGGTCTCCTAGCATGGTGCTGGGCGGGGAGTGATGAAGATTTGTGAATAAGACAATAGGGGTCAAAGGAAGGTGTTGGTGCTCAAAATATGTAGATTAAAGGCAGTAGCCATGAACTCTGCCTACTTCCCAGTTCTGCGCAGGCTTGTCCTTAGGGCAAGAAGCAGGCCCAATCTCAGTATTTGTGGGGCTGGGTAAGACTCTCATCAAAGCCATAATTTCACATGTCTAAATGCAGTCATATGTCACTTTATGAGGGGCTACACTGTGAGAAGTATATCATTAGGTGATTTCAACATTATGCAAAAACTGAAGACTAGATGCCAACCTAGCTGGTACAGGGCAATCACTGGACAAGGCCTTTTGATGCAACCCAGAGAAGTGATAAATGTGAAGGTGCTGACAGTGGAACACAGCATATAGCTTTATAGAAAACAATTTTTAAAAATACAACTAGCAGGCCGGCGCCACGGCTCAATAGGCTAATCCTCCGCCTGTGGTGCCAGCACCCCTGGTTCTAGTCCCGGTTGCTCCTCTTCCAGTCCAGCTCTCTGCTGTGGCCCAGGAGTGCAGTGGAGGATGGCCCAAGTGCTTGGACCCTGCACCCACATGGGAGACCAGGAGAAAGCACCTGGCTCCTGGCTTCGGATCGGCGCAGCTCCGGCTGTAGCAGCCATTTGAGGAGTGATCCAACGGATGGAAGACCTTTCTCTCTGTATCTCTCACTGTCTGTAACTCTACCTGTCAAATAAATGAATAAAAAATAAATAAATCAGGGGTGAGTGTTTGGCTGAGGAGTTAAGATGCTGATTATGACACCTGTGTTCCCTATCAGGGTGTCTGGGTTTGACACCTGCCTCTGGTTCCTCACTCCAGCTTCCTGATGGCACAGACCCTGGCAGACATGTGATCACTGAAATAGCTGGACCCCTGCCACTTGTATGGGAGACCTGGGCTGAGCTCCTGGCTCCTGGCTTCAATTTCAAAATCATCCCTCTCACTGTGGACATTTGAGGAATAAACCAGAAGACAGGATCTCTCTCTCTCTCTCTCTCTCTCTCTCTCTCAAAAAAGAACTAATAACTGAAGCCAATTAACTACTAAACAAAATATGAAATATGCACTGTGTTCCTAACTTGACAGATACACGCAGATCTCCATTATTTATTGATACTGTGTTTTTTTAAAAGATTATTTATTTATTTATTTGACAGAGTTACAGACAGTGATAGAGAGAGACAGAGAGAAAGGTCTTCCATCTGCTGGTTCACGACCCAAATGGCTGCAATGGGCGGAGCTATGCCGATCCGAAGCCAGGAGCCAGGAGCTTCTTCCTGGTCTCCCCTGCGGGTGCAGGGGCCCAAGCACCTGGGCCATCCTCCACTGCTTTCTGGGGCCACAGCAGAGAGCTGGAGTGGAAGAGGAGCAAGCGGGACTAGAACCGGTGCTCATATGGGATGCCGGTGCCAGAGGCGGAGGATTAACCTAGTGTGCCACGGTGCCGGCCCTGATACTATGTTTCTAAATTTGCCTACTTGCTCAAATTTATTTGTAATCCTCAAAGTAGTGATCAAAGCAGAGACTTGGGTGATAATTCATGTACATGCACACAGTGTTGAAAAATGTGCTTTCCAATTTGCATGTTGCCAGGTGCAGTCAAACAGGTGACACTCTGCCTTCTTGTTTTGGTTCTTATGTTGTAAACAAGTGCCCTGTGCATGTTTAATGCTATCTTTTCTGACGTTTTTCTGCTTTCTCATGGTTCTTTCATTGTGGCAAATGGTCTTTAAGGATAGTGCTGAAGTGCTGTCCAGGCAGGGTTCCTAAGTGCAGGCAGGCTGTGGTGTGCCCAGTGTAGAGAACACTCGGGTTAGATACGCTTCCCTGAGGCCTGGGCTGCTGCTGTTGGCTGGCAGTGTCGTTTAGCAGAAGTGCATGTAACTTGAATTTATGTATTAATCATTGATAAAAGACAGAAATCAAAGTTAAGTATTTAGCAGTTTATAAAAATGTTGGGATGCAAGGTTTGGAAGGAATCTAGCTCTCTGCTTCTTCAGGGGCAAGAATTCAGTATTCAGCAATCTAGGGGCCACAGCGGCTTTGTAGAACATAACTACTGTAAGTAATGAGAATGGAACAACCCTCCAAGGTGACAGAATTGAAAAGTCCATGTAAAGCTATGGTTTGTACTTAACTAGAGCGCATCAAAACATGAATGCTCATAGAATTTAATAATTATATCATGTATGTGTGGTATCTGTTGATTGGTCTATGACATTTGGATAAATAATAGAGATAGGTACAATTCATTACTTTTATGATTTATTTCATAATATTTATTTTTATTGCCTTCATTTCAGCAGTCACTATTTTTTTATTTATTTTATTTTTTAATTTTTTTTATTTGACAGAGTTACAGACAGTGAGAGAGAGACAGAGAAAAAGGTCTTCCATCCACTGATTCACTCCCCAAATGGCAGCAACAGTGGGAGCTGCGCCAATCCGAAGCCAGGAGCCAGGAGCTTCTGGGTCTCCCATGAGGGTGTGCAAGGGCCCAAGCACTTGCGCCATCCTCCACTGCTTTCCTGGGCCACAGCAGAGAGCTGGAGTGAAAGAGGAGCAACTGGGACTAGAACCCAGCGCCCATATGGGATGCTGGTGCCGCAGGTGGAGGATCAACCAAGTGAGCCATGGTGCCGGCCTCAGCAGTCATTAATTTTTATAGTGACTATTATTATAATCAAGATCTGTACCTAATTATGTTCTGTTAGCAAAAATGATAAAGCATTTAAAACTGTTTTAAGTGAATATAATATGAATATATTTTCATCATAAATTCTAATGGTATATCAGAAAAATTGGTAATGTTTTAATATATTTTAAAAATGATTTTATTCTAAAATATTAAAATTATGTATTATAAATTAAATTGAAATGGAGATAAACTTTTTTTTTTTTGACAGGCAGAGTGGACAGTGAGAGAGAGAGACAGAGAGTAAGGCCTTCCTTAGCCATTGGTTTACCCTCCAATGGCCACTGTGGCCGGCGCGCCGATCCAATGGCAGGAGCCAGGTGCTTCTCCTGGTCTCCCATGGGGTGCATGGCCCAAGCACTTGGGCCATCCTCTACTGCACTCCTGGGCCACAGCAGAGAGCTGGCCTGGAAGAGGGGCAACTGGGACAGAATCCGGTGCCCCGACTGGGATTAGAACCCGGTGTGCCAGCGCCGCAAGGTGGAAGATTAGCCTAGTGAGCTGCGGCGCCAGCCTGGAGATAAACTTTTAAAGTCAAATTTAGTGAGTCTGGTTTGTAATGTAAATATTTAAAAATTTGATTAAGCCATTAAATATTTTTATCAAAACAAAGCTATTCAGTTTTTATGCTCAGTATTCACCAATGTTACTCTATTGTTATCCAACATGTTACATTTAGATATGTAAAATTTAAAAACAATTTCAAGTACTTTATATTGCTTCTCAGTTGTGAACAAGAACTGTAAATATAAATACAAATATAAACTCTAAATATCTCTAGAATTTGAATTAGTAGAGAAGCAAGAAGACTGACTCAGCATTACCTGGAAGCAGCATTTTGTTGCCAAAGAGTTGATTGTTTTCAGGCTATCGAGGAAGAAGTGTTCTAAACCTGACTAATCTGTGTTTCCTTTCTACATAAGCATTTTTGCTGCAAATCCTATCCCTAGCACTCCAAATCCTTCTCACTCTTCTGGCTTTTTCTGACAGCAGTGGAACAAGCTTGTGGGATGCAAGATAGCTTCCAGCTTATATTGGACTGATATACCTGCCTATAACATTAGTAGTTCTAAATGAAGCATTAAAAACAAGACAAAACTGTTGAAGTCATTGAAAATTAATTAAAGGTTGACATAAATGGGGGAACTCGACAATTGAAAGAAGGGAAATGAAGCAGCTGAGGTGCACATCTCTGCTGAGGAGACCTCCAGCCCACGCAATGTCAGTGCTGATGTCGTCCAAGAAGAAAGCCATCTCCCACTGCAAGACGGTTCAGAAGTTGGGGGTGTGGAGCTGCCAGATGGCATATAAACTCCTGTCAGATAATTGGCTGTGGGGCTGGTGTTACCGCGTAGCAGGTAAAACTGCCCCCTGCAACACTGGCATCTCGTATGGGCGCCAGTTTGTGTCTCGGCTGCTCTACTTCCAATCCAACTCCCTGCTAATGACCTGGGAAAACTAGTGAAAGATGGAACAAGTGTCTGGGCTCCTGTCACCCTCGTGGGAGACTCAGAAGAAGCTCCTGCTCCTGGCTTTGGCCTGACCCAGCCCTGGCCATTGTGGCCGCCTGGGGAGTGAACCAGCAAATGGAATCTCTCTCTCTGTCTCTCCCTTTCTCTGTAACTCCAATTTTAAAATAAATAAATAAACCTTCAGAAAAAAGTCATTGGCTGACCCCTGAAATCTGCATTTGTGAGTATAAACTAAGACCCCGGGAAGCCTGAGAGAAATGGGAGCTGAAAGGCTGAGAGAGTCCAGCCCTCTCTAGTGGAGGGAGAATTTGAAGTTTGATTCCTGCCAGGTAAGAATGATTTGGCAAGAATGATTTGGCAAATCATTCTTGGCCTTCCCATTAAGACTCCACTAGAATCACATCTTAGGAATAAAAACTGCATTGCAAGACTAAAGGATTTCTCTCAGGACTAAGAGGAAAATCAAAATAGAGCCACTCTTAAAAACAAACAACAACAAACAAAACTAAAACCAAGCCTTCACAAGTTCAAAGTGATTAAGAGGAAGAGGCCCAAATACAGCATCTTTATAACATACAGGTAATTCACAATGTCCAGTTGCAATAAAAAACTACTAGATAGGTAAATCAATAGGAAATGTGATTCAAGGACAAGAGAAAAATATGTTTAAAGAAGTTGACCCCTGGGGCCAGAGATGTGGCATAGCAGGTAAAGCCACCACCTGCAGGGCCAGCATCCCATATAGGCGCCTGTTCGAGTCCTGGCTGCTCCATTTATGATCCAGCTCTCTGCTATGGCGTGGGAAAGCAGTGGAATATGGCCCAAGTGCTTGGGCCCCTGCACCCACATGGGAGACCTGGAAGAAGCTCCAGGCTCCTGGCTTCAGATTAGCCTAGCTCTGGCCAATGGGGCCATCTAGGGAGTGAACCAGCGGATGGAAGACTGACTCTCTCTCTCTCTTCCTGTGTAACTCTGACTTTCAAATAAATAAATAAATAAATATTTTTTAAAAATAAAATAAACAATGACAATAAATACATAAATATTAAAAAAAGAGGTTGACCCATGGACACCAGATGTTTGAATAAGTATAGTGACTTCATTGAAACACATTAGAGAATCTGTGGAAAAATGTTAGGAGTGAAATTTCTAAGGTTAAATAGAAGCCATAAGAAATAACCAAATGAAAGTACTAGAACTGAGAACAATTTTTGAACTACAAAATTTAGTTGATGAGATTAGTGGCAAATTTACCACTGTGGAAGAAAGGGTTATGTATTTAAAGGCAGATCCTTAGAAGTCATCCAAACTGAGCTACCCAGAGGAAAACATAAAGGTTGAAAAATATATCGGAGCCCCAGGGATCTGTGAAACTACGTTAAGCAATGTCATATATATTGGAGTCTCAGAAGAAGAGATGGAGATGAATAAAGGAAAAATATTTGAAGAAGTCTTGGCAGACAAATTTCCTGATTTGATGATGCTAATTCGTGATCCAAGAGTCTTTGGGAATACCAAGTAGGCTCAATACATTGGAAATGAAATCATATGACAGTCAGCTGCTGAAGAAAACAGAGATGGCTTTGCGCACCTCATCTGGAGGCACTTACTTCCAAGGAATAAGACTTGCAAGGACAGTTGTATATCAAAACTTGGAAGATAAGGTCTCCTTATGTAGCAAAGGGTAGGTTTGTATATGTTTCAGTATACAAAATATAATATCTCCCTGTTGAACCAAGGTTAGGCAGAGTTAATTAGAAGCAGCTGTTGGTGACGAGAGTTGGTGGTATTGGCATAGTGTTAAGATGCCTCCTGGGATGCCAGCATCCCTTATCAGAGTGCCTGGATTCAAGTCCCAGCTCCTTTGCTAATTCTAGCTTCATGCTAATACATACCTTAAGAGAGAACAGGTGATGGCTCAAGTAGGTGGGTCCCTGCCACCCACTTGGAAGACCTGTATTGAGTTCCTACCTTCTGATTTTGGTCTGGCCCAGTCCTAGCTGTTAGGGGCATTTGGCAAGTGAAGCAGTGGATGGGAGATCTGTCTGTCTCTCTCTTGCTGTCATTTTCTCTGCTTTTAAAATAAAACAATAAAATAAAAAAAATTAACAAAAAGGCAGCTGTTAGCTTTCTACTGAGTTTTTGTAGAAACTGACCCATTGTAACCCAACCCTCTGGCTTGATTTTACCATTTTTGGGTGGGTTAACTCAGACTTGATGACTAATAAATCGAGTAGACACCCAAGTGCTCCTCTTGTCATATGGAAATAGTATATTCAAGAACCCAATTGGCCTGAGCTCAGTAGCATTTTGGCTCCAGGTGGAAAAGTGGTACTTACCACTTTGGAAGAAATGGTATTGCCCAATTCACTGCCTGAAGTAAAGCTGTTGCTCAATGGGCCCTTGAATTACCAAAGTTCCTGTAAATATTTGGGCTTAGACTACACCGAAGCTGACTAACTCATAGGTTGTTGCCAATAGTCCAGCTTTTTGGTTTGCCACGTGGAAATAACACTAGAGGATTAATTACATCCCTCTCTGTGGCCATGAAATGTGGGAACAGATTGTGGCTGCTGATTGAAATATCTGAAACACTCAGAGATGCCCACAGTCAGGGCCCATTCTCTGATAAGACTAACCAGAATGAAGCTACTAACTGAATCTGACTCCATGTTTCTGACACAGAGGCTACCACCAAATACCCAATTTGGGAATCCAACCAAGAGCGGGAGGCCAACAGTGGATTAATAATCAGAATCTACCTCTCTATTATTTGCTTGGTCCACATAACCTTAGTAAGGCAGGTGTTTCATTGACTGCACCTGTTGCCTTCTCAGGTCATTATCAGGAGGAAAGGGGAGGGGAGATGGAGGGGGCTATGTAGACCTGCAAAGATGCATGATGCATCTGTCTTTTCTCTAACAAAAACCACAGGGCACTGGGGTAGCACACTTGGTGAGACTTCACCTGGAGCTTTTCTCACGTGGGAGAACATCCTGATGCCAGACTGCAGCGAGTGCCCAAGGCTTCACTGCCTGCTGAGTCCGTCTCCCCCTCCGAAGCCTCTGTGCTTTTCTCGCCACCTGCTTTAACCTTGTCAACAAGTCTACTGAAAATGACAGGAGAAAAAGCACAGATTCTGTACTTCCTATACCAAAAAACCTTTTTTCCTTGAAACAAAGATTTACTTATTTGAAAGGCAGAATTAGAAAGAGAGGAAGATGGATACACAATTCACTGGTTTATTCCCCATCTGGCTGCAATGGCCGGCCAGGTAGAAGCTAGGGGACTGGAACTCCCATGTGGTTTCAGGGGCCCAAATACTTGGGCCACCTTCCATTGCTCTCCCAGGTGCACTAGCAGGGAGCTGGATTGGAAGTGGAGCAGCTGGGACTAGAACTGGTGCCCATGTGGGATGCTGGCATTGCAGGTGGTGGCTTAATCTGCTGTGCCACAGTGCTGGCCTCTCCAAAAAACCTTTTAATGCCATAACCAACCTTATTTCCAGCCATCTATGG